TATCCACCACCGAGATACATGTTGTACGCGCCGTACGCCTTACCGACGAACGCAACCTCAGCCAACCAAGGCCTGGCGCATCCGTTAGGGCAACCGGTCATACGCATGACGATGCTCTCCTGCTTGAGCCCGTTGTCCTCGAGGGTCTGCTCGAGCTTCGAGATGAGGACAGGGAGGTAGCGCTCCGATTCGGCCATGGCGAGGCCACAGGTTGGGAACGCAACACAGGCGGAGGAGGACAGGCGCAGGCCGGAGAACTGGATGTTGTCCAGCTTGTACTTAACCATCATTTTGACGATCCTGGGCTTGTCCTCGTCCTTGACGTTGGAGATGATCAGATGCTGGTTACCAGTCAACCTGAACTCGCCCTTGTGGACCCTTGCAATCTCCCTGAGGCCAGTGCGCATGGGGAAGTCGGCGGTGTCTTCGATTCTTCCGTTCTCGATGAAGAAGGTGAAGTGGTTGAGTCCGTGCTCGTCCTTGATCCAGCCGTAGGTGTCGACGTTGGAGACGAACTTGAAGGGGCGCTGCTCGGCGAACTTCTTGCCCCAGATCTCCTCGACCTTGGAGCGGAAGACGTCGACGCCCATGTCGTCGACGGTGTACTTTAGGCGGGCGTGCTTGCGGTTCTTGCGGTCGCCGTTGTCGCGCTGGACGAGCATGACCTTCTCGCAGACGATGTGGACGTCCTCCTTGGAGCAGTAACCCATCATGGAGCCGGTGCGAGGGTAGGTCTTCTTGTTGTTGTGAGTAACACCCATACCACCACCGACAAGCACGTTGAAACCGGCGAGGTGTCCGTCTTCGCCCTTGATGGCGATGAGACCGACATCGTGGGCGTACACGTCCGTGTCGTTGTTTGGAGGAGTGGCGATGGTAATCTTGAACTTCCTGGGGAGGTAGGTAGGGCCGTAAAGGGGCTCAAAGTCCTGGACAGCGTTGCCAGCAATTTGAGTCTTGTTGTCATCCTCATCCTTCAACCATATCTCGTGGTATGCGGTAGTGGATGGCAAAAGGTGATGATCGATACGGACAGAGCACCTGTGGACCTCCTTGTGGTATTCGGAGTGAGCTGGAGAGCTGCTGCACATAAGGTTACGGTTGATATCACCGCAGGCGGCAATACTGGTCATCAGAGCCTTGTTAATAGCGCGCATGGCACCCTTAAGCTTGCCCTTAACGATACCGTGGAACTGGAAGGTCTGGCGGGTAGTGAGCTTCATCGTCTCGTTTCCGAAATCGGAACTGAGCTGATCCATCTGGACCCATTGGCTTGGAGTAGCAACACCAGATGGGAGTCTGCAGCGAATCATGAAAGAGTAAGCTGGCTCAAGACCAGCAGCCTTGCGCTCATCACGAAGATCACGATCGTCTTGCATGTAAGTTCCGTGGAACTTGGTCAACTGAGAGTCGGAAGCGGAGATTGCGCCGGTGCTGGTATCCTTCAGTCCCTCGACGATAGTACCACGAAGGAAGTTCGACTCGATCTTGATATCCTCGTTGGTGATTGGCGGCGGCTCATCAGCAAGTCCCTCAACCTTATCAACGCCGAGAGTTTGCCAGAGTTGCGCCTCCCAAGGAGCATATCCTGTCTGGAATCCATCGGGATCCTGGTCATCTCCAAGGCCGACATCCGCGAGAGGCTTGGCGCCGAGGTCGCCCATAACTCTGAACAGGTCCTTTCCTGGCTTGTTGTAGTAAACCTTGTCCTCTTTTCTTGGCCAGTAGTGGCTGTCACCAAGAGCGAATACGGAGAAGTTAACAGATGCGAGATCTAGCTCCGTGTTGTCCTTGATAGCGCCCCAGAATGCATGACCATCCTGTGGGAACTCTCCCTGTCCGGCGGTGGAGGTAAGGAAGACAATGTTTTCCTCTGCAGAGAGGTCCTCAATTGGGTAGTCGCCCATGCTCATTACCATGGTCTTCAACCCGCGAGCCTTTCCGCGGTTGCCCAACCTCTTAGCAAGGGTTGTGGCATTGCCGTTGTCGGAAGCGTACAGGATTGTCAGAGGAGCACCAAAGAGACCCTCTAGGAGCGCGTTGTATGCATCCTTTGCCTTCCTCTTCTGGGCCTCACGAACCTCCGAGCCATAATCCTCAGAGATGTTGGCGGCAAACTCAGGGCGCCTCTTCATGAGCTGAGTCAGGTGGTTATCGCGTGCAAGGAAATCCTTGAGCTCATTCTTGATTCTCTCGGAATCCAAAGAGAAGTTTGGCTCGTTGCGATCCTCAGCAGTCGGGTCCCACCTGTAGAGTGGCCAGTAGCCGAGATCGACGGCCTTCTTGGTCTCCTGCAGAACGGTCAACGGAGAATCGCTCTCCTTGTGGTATGGCAGGTAAGCCATGACAACAGACGGACCATCGAACTTGTCTGCTTCAATCATGGCCTGTAGGACCTGGGTGTACGAGCTGTAAACCGCAACAGAGGCAACGTAGGCGTTTCCAAAGTTCATGGCGTAAAGCCCAATGTCCTTCTTGCGGCGCGTGGCATCAGCTGCTGCGCGCTCGGAGTATGGGGTGGAGTCAATGATGAGCATGTTCACATTCTTGCCAGAGGCAATAACATGGTGGACACCGGAGTTACCCAAATCATATGCCCATGCATCAGACCCGATCAACCAAGGAGACTCCTTGCGGAACAGAGACTTGTTGGAAAGCAGTTTGGTCGCTAATGGGGATCCATCAGTCTCCAATCGAGAAATAATTTCTGGTGTGATCTCAGTCGTCAACTTCTCATCATCGGCGCCCAGAGCCCACTTGGATAGGAACTTCTTAGGGGCTTCAGTGATGAATTCCTTGGAGACTGCAGCGTCGGAAACCTCAGTAATGAAGCGTTGGCGGTGCTCATTGCGTGCGAGAAGAGATCCGAACCCGAACTCTGGGTTTGCGGCAATGGTCTCAGAAACACCAGCATTGTTTGAACCCAAAGCATTGGCGACATGGAGTTTCTGGCCGAAAACCTGGTTCAATATTTTCATATAGGCAGTCTCAACTGCTGGTTGCTCGAGCTCTTGCTCCTCCGTGAAGTCAGCTTGCTCCTCGGTGGTGCCAACCTCAAGATTTTGAATTGGGGCCTCAGAAGTAAGATTTTGGAAGATGCCGCGGAGTGCCTGAGAAACGGTATCCGGGGTGATGTGTCCTAATTGATGGCCAACAATCGTCTTGGCGCCCTCACCCGGTCCGCTCTTCAGGGTGGTGAGAATATCAAGGAAGATAGGACCCCACTTTGTAGTCTTCTTGCGGATTTGCTCAAGAACAGCAAGACGCTTGACGCTCTTGGGGACAACCTCCACCAGCTTCGCGCCAAGCCACGGCCTGTAGAGGCGTGCGGTAACAATTCCTGCCTTTGCGTAAATCTCGTCGGACTTCGCCGAATCGATGGACTCGGCGAAAATTCCGGCATCCGATCCGAAGATGAAGATTGCGGTCTCGGCATTTGCTGGGCCAGTGTATTGGAAAGGGGTATAGTCGCGGCCAGTGGTGTCTTTGATTTGCGACCAAATGGCCGTGACGATGTCGTAGATGTCTTGCGATGAGGTGCGCTTGACAGATGCATCAACTGTAGTTGCCGACGAAACACTTGGTCGGCTGTCCACGCTGCTCTGCCTCGACTTGGTTGATCCAACGGAAGATGCCTTCGAGGGAGTCGCTGCTGCCTCAGCAGGAGGTGCCAGCTGTCTCTGGACAGGAGCTCCAGCGGTATCTAATGGCTCAACTGGAGCCTCGCTAACTCTAGCCATCTTGCCATCGTCGGCATATACTGAGGATCCACCAACGCTGCTGGATTGGAAAGCACGGACGGCGCCCAAGTCCAAGACTTGGTCCACAACAGTTGCATCCTCGGCAGTGACAGCATCATCATTTTCTGATGCGAGAGCGTCAAAGAAATGGATGACACCCTTGCCGGACTTGATAGCAAGAGCGTGGGCAGTCAATGCAATATCTTGCGCCTCCCGGAGCGATCCGGATTGGAGGAATGTGAAGCCCGAGTTTCTGATAGAGGTGATTGAAGAGTAATCGGGGTGGTGAGCGGGCTGTAGGGCAACATGGATGACAACTGGGTAGTTGGCAAGCTTGTAGAGGTACGGTACAGAGGAGACGAGTATGGAGGAGGTGGTTGTGACGGAGGTGAGCTTTCCGGAGCGGATTGGGGCGAAAACAGAGAGAAGAGGGTCGGCATTCTGTCTCACGGTTTGGATCTGTATAAAAGTTAGGACAAAGCTCATCTCATCCAAGGGATATGCTTTCAGGGCCATCTCACTTCTGGGATGCGGCTCTTGGATGCCACGACAACACCTTGGTCCTTGTTGTCGGCATAAGTTTGTAGGTGTGTCGAGAAGCCCGACGGGACGCCCTGCGCAGGCTGGACGGAGACAATAACGTCGCTCGAGAGGTATGCAATGCGCGCAACTGCCCAAAAATGTCAGCTCAATCCCATAGCACCCCCTCAATCCCGCGACGGCGCCGCCTCTGCCCCAAGAAGGTGGCGGGGCATGGGCAAAGCGGTCGTCGAGGTCCGGGAAGTGAGAAATGACGGAAGCAAACATACCGGCCTCTTCAGGCGTGCGTAAGGACAGCGGAGCAGCCATATTGCCTTTGTTATCAGTGGCTTTCCTCCGTTGGGAAAGAGGAGAGGAGGGAGTGGTTTTGAAGAGGAAAGACATTTTTTTATTTGGAGCCGTCCTGGGAGGACTGGAGCAGTCAATTCAATTGACTCTTACCTATCTGGACCTATGGGCGCGATAATCGGAGGGTATTTTGGATTGTGGGGTGGAAAGGGACTTGGGAGTGGCATACAAATTAGCGGTAGTTGGGAAGTACCATGAGATTTTGGTGAATTGGTGGAATTGATGGAATAGCTGGAATAGACGGATTGTGATTGGCCGGACGGCAATTTGATCGATTGCGTGCTCGACCATGGCTGACAGCATTTTTCCCTTTCTTTTGTGGTCACGTGCACGAGATGTATGGGCGGGAGCAAAATCAGGGGAACAGATAAATCATAGGCCTACGAACACTCCTGTGCTCAAGCCAGGCGTATCTTCAATGCTATCATACTATCTGCTATCATACTATCATACAAGGCTCGCCAGAACCGCTATGCTCAAGATCTCCCACGTCCACATAATGCATCAAGGTCGAATACAGCCACATCGACGAGCTCCAAGGTCCACCCTTCCCCTTCTCCCTTCTCCCTTCTCCCTTCTCCCTTCTCCCTTCTCCCTTCTCCCTTCTCCCTTCTCCCTTCTCCCTTCTCCCTTCTCCCTTCTCCCTTCTCCCTTCTCCCTTCTCCCTTCTCCCTTCTCCCTTCTCCCTTCTCCCTTCTCCCTTCTCCCTTCTCCCTTCTCCCTTCTCCCTTCTCCCTTCTCCCTTCTCCCTTCTCCCTTCTCCCTTCTCCCTTCTCCCTTCTCCCTTCTCCCTTCTCCCTTCTCCCTTCTCCCTTCTCCCTTCTCCCTTCTCCCTTCTCCCTTCTCCCTTCTCCCTTCTCCCTTCTCCCTTCTCCCTTCTCCCTTCTCCCTTCTCCCTTCTCCCTTCTCCCTTCTCCCTTCTCCCTTCTCCCTTCTCCCTTCTCCCTTCTCCCTTCTCCCTTCTCCCTTCTCCCTTCTCCCTTCTCCCTTCTCCCTTCTCCCTTCTCCCTTCTCCCTTCTCCCTTCTCCCTTCTCCCTTCTCCCTTCTCCCTTCTCCCTTCTCCCTTCTCCCTTCTCCCTTCTCCCTTCTCCCTTCTCCCTTCTCCCTTCTCCCTTCTCCCTTCTCCCTTCTCCCTTCTCCCTTCTCCCTTCTCCCTTCTCCCTTCTCCCTTCTCCCTTCTCCCTTCTCCCTTCTCCTCCCTTCTCCCTTCTCCATCTCCACCATTTAGCACGCACAGCCCTCTTGCGACTGGGTTGAGTTGTTGATGTTCACATCGATCACTGCACGAGCGGGTTAGAAACAGGTCCAAGATCCAAGTACACCCCCCCCCCCCCCCCTTTCGAGGGCCTTCAGAGGACTCACTTTGGTTCCCAGCAGACGCAGCACTGTCGGCCCCCTCCATTCCCGGCAAGGCCTGAGCAATCCTCCTGAACAGGTTCTTAATGTTATGCCCGACCTTCGCGCTCGTCTCGATGAACATCAGGTTGTTCTTCTTCGCCTCCTCCTCGCCCTGCTGCGTCGTCACTTCCCGCCTATCGTTCAAATCCGTCTTGTTTCCCACCAGAACAATGATGACATCGTTCCCTCGCTCGCCCCGGACGTCGTCTACCCATTTACGCGTGTTCTGGAACGACTTCGCATCTGGGATTCGAGGTTAGTATCGACCCTTTGCTACCTGTCAAGACCGGAGAAGTTGTGCGTACTGGAGATATCGTAGACCACCACTGCAACACTTGAATCGCGTATGTACGACGGAATCAAACTGCGGAAACGCTCCTGCCCAGCCGTATCCCATAGTTGTAAACGGACTGTTCGGTCCTCAAGGTACATCGTCTACCGCCATCTGTCAATACATGGACACTTCATCCAGCTGGGATTTCAGGTCCGTACTTTTGATAAGAAGTCGATACCGATCGTGGCTTGGTACATATTGTCGAACGAATCGTACATGAACCGTGTTATTAAGGAGGTCTTGCCAACTGCGCCATCCGGTTAACACAAATGCTGCCGCCTATGGACGTAATCTTCGCATACCACTCTGCTCGCCCAGAAACACCAACCTAAAAGCGATCTGTTAGCATTGCCTTGATGTTAAGAAGAGTGAATCCACCTACTTGAACTTCTTCAACGGGTTGTTGTATGAACTACCCGGGGCCTGCGCCATCTTGGCGGTTTCTCTTGCTGTCTGGCTCGAGGAGCTGCGCTGTTCGTGGCGGTGGGGGGATAAAAAAATATGTACAAATGTGAATCAAACAGCAGTCAGGCTTGCGTGCGAAAAGTTGTAATTGAACAAAGAAACCCAATATCGATGAAGTCAGGAGTATATCACTCCCAGTATGCCAAGGCAAATACTCCATCGGGACTAGTGTTCCCCGCTATCGGAAAAACATGTTCCCGATTGACGCCCGGTTTTTGTGGGGTCCTTACGAAAATATACTCGTGTAGTGGGAAGTTTTGGATATGGGAAGTGTTGGATTAGCACTTTCGTAAATCTCACACAACAATTTCGAAAAGATGCCAATCGTCAAAAGAGCAGCCGCTGCTCCGGAAGCGCCGCAGCAGCACAACCAGAAGTCCAGGAAGGGAAAGAAGGCCTGGAGGAAGAATGTTGACGTTACAGAGATTGATGCTGGTCTTGAGGCCGCTCGTGATGAAGTTATCAAAGGGTATATACTTTCCAAATAATACCATAACCTACAATTTTGCTAATACTCTACAGTGGTATAATCAGCGAGAAGAAATCCGACGACCTCTTCATGCTCGATGTCGACGGCGACGCCTCAATCGCGAAGAAATTTCTCAAAGCCTCGAAGCCCCTCAAAGCCGACGAGATCATTGCCCAACGCTCCGCCGTGCCCTCCGTATCCATGAGGAAGCGCCCTGGCGACAAGACAACCAACGGCATCGCCGACGCCAAGCGCCAGCGCACCTCCTATGTCTCCCACAAGGAACTCACCCGCCTCCGCAACATCATGGCAGGGAAAGGCACCCAATCCGTCGTCGAGGTCACTGACCCCGCCTTCGATCCCTGGTCCGAGGCCGCCGATGCGCAAGCCCTAGTTGTCGATGAGCGCTTCACCTTCCTCCCCAAGGCGCAGAACAAGGTCGCACCGACCACCCTGAAACAAAAGCCCATCTCCCTCGCTGCCTCCGGAAAAGCCGTCCCAGCTGTATCCAAACCCGCCGGCGGATACTCTTACAACCCTGTCTACACTGACTACGAGCAGCGCCTCATCACCGCCGGTGAGAAAGAGCTCGAGGCTGAGAAGAAGCGCCTCGCGATTACTGAAGCGGAGCGTATCCGCGCTGAAGCATCCGCAAAGTCCGCCGCTGAAGCCGTAGCAGCCGAAGCGCGCGCGGAGCTATCCGAATGGGACGAGGAGTCCGCCTGGGAGGGACTCGAGTCCGGCGCCGAGGACACGCGGGTCAGCGCCAAGCGACCCGAGCGCAAGACGCAGCAGCAGCGCAACAAGATCCAGCGCCGCAAGGAGGAGGAGCGGAAGCAGAAGATGCTGGCGAATAACAAGAAGCGGAACGAGCAGGCGCAGCATATCAAGAAGATTGCCAAGTCGGTGGAGGAGGCGGAGGAGGCGAGGGCGCTGGCGCTGGCGGTGCAGGCGGAGAATGCGGATGATGAGTCTGAGGGGGAGGACTTGGAGTTGCGGAGGAGGAAGTTGGGGAAGTTGCAGTTGCCGGAGAAGGAGCTGGAGTTGGTGTTGCCGGATGAGCTGACGGAGAGTTTGAGGCTGTTGAAGCCGGAGGGGAATGCGTTGAAGGAGAGGTATAGAAGTTTGCTTGTCAGGGGTAAGGTGGAGGGGAGGAAGAGGATTAGCTTTGCGAAGCAGGCGAAGAGGAAGGTTACTGAGAAGTGGACGCATAAGGACTTTATGCTCCATTAGACTTGGAGTGGATTGGGTAACTGGGACATTGTTGGCGTTTTTTACATACACTTATGATATCGGGAATTGAAAATGCAGCGACTTATTTCTGATAATTAATTTATCGATTGAATGGTTTCGGTGACAACACCCCGCTTTTGTCTCATCATGGAACTGGCTATCATTTCCAGCAGCGTTGGTGCCAGCTGACGGATTTCTTAAATTGCAAAACTCCTGCTCACAAAAAGTAATGTGCAAATCTTTTAAAATGGCTTTCGCTCAATTTCCATTAAATTACCGTTCTCTTATGCTGCTGACTGTGATGAAAGTCCTTACGCCCACCAACTACAACCCAACCATTATGTACATATCCTATCCTCACACCGTTCTCCCCAGTCTAACGCCCCGTGGACAATTTGAGTCACACTTTCACCCTCCAGACAAGAACCCTACATAGGGCCTTGCGTCTGAATCCTCATCGGTGGCGGGCCAGTACCGCTTCTAGCCCTCTGCTCCCTCAACGACGTCCCCGGCAGCACATTATTGCTCACAAACTTTTGGCTGGCGCTCCTCGCCCACTCTTCATCCTCCGCGCGCCCACCAACCCACCAGTTCGTCCCAATAGCCGTCATCGCACGACCGAGCTTTCCCTTCCATCCCGCGCCCAGCGGCGCACCCTCCGCAAAAGGCGTCTCCAACTTGTCGTCCGCGCCATCCATGTGGAGGTGTGGGCGCTGCGAAGATTTCGCCGAGAGATATTGTCGCAGAACCTGTCGCGCGAAGGAGAAAAGAACAAGTGTGAAGTAGACGCGGACAAGGGTGAGGAAAACGATGATGAGGATGCTGGGCACAGACTCGCTGATTGCGGCGCCGCTTGCGAGACTGGGGCTGCCGCTAGCGGCTGCAGCGGCGTCGGTTATGCCGGAGGCGTCGGAGCCGGTGAAGCCTGCGGTGTCGTTCATGGTTTCGCTGCCGGGCGCGTCGATCTCGGCGTCCTTGGCGGCGGCGCTAAGGGTGAGGAACCAGGTGCCTGCGAAGACTGCGGTGTATGCTCCGTTCAGAATCGTGTCGATGAGGTAGAAGTAGGCGAGGGAGAGACACTGGAGGGGAGATGATTTGCGGATATGTGGCATGAGCGTTACGAGGATGACCAGGGCGATGAGAGAGTAGAGGTACATCGAGAACTGGAGGAAGGAGAGTCGGTAGCCGGTGACGAGGGCGAGGATTCCGTAGAAGCCGGCGAGCTTATTGAAGAGGAGGGAGAGCGAGATCATTTCGGCACCGAAGCGGAGGGAGGTTATGAAGAGGAAGGTCTTTGCGCTGTTAGACTGGAGGCAACGGACATGGTGGAACATAGGGAGAGGGCTTACTCGAGGGCGAGGTAGGGCAAGCCATGACGGGGCCATGGTGGCGGTAGCGTTCGGATATCGTGGGGAAGAGTCTCTAGTCAAAAAGAAAGAGTTCCACTCGACAAAGAGGAACGACCAGGTAACCCAGAGGAGTGGCAGCGAAGTTGTAGTGGATAGGGGTTTGTTAGGCGTGCATGTAGGTGTATTGGAGGCCGCGACGACGATGATTTTGGGGATGGTGAAGGGGTTGATTAGATTAGATTGTACTAAACTTTCAATGCTGAGTAAGCAACGCCTCTCCATTGAACCCCTAACTTACTCCAGTTTTCAGCACGCGACCATAGGGATCTGAGGCACACAAATATATAATATATACGTTAGATTATTTTACTATTAACACTAAATTATACTAACTACTTATCTCACCCCATTTTCGGCTCCTTTGAAGCTTCAAGTAAAAAGTTATTCCATGATCACGTGATTGTTGCGTGAGAATCTTGATGAAGCATTTGGTTCCGCCCAATATAATCCAATCATGCGATATATATAATGGCGTCTCAGGACTCACCCAGCCAGAAAGCACATTACTCTCCCCCGTGGAACAATGTCACCATTATTGGTATTGCAGGCAGTTCCGGCTCTGGAAAATCCAGCTTGTCACGGGCGATCCTCTCCGCACTGAACCTGCCTTGGGTGGCTATAGTCGGCCTCGATTCGTTTTACAAGCCTCTGAACGAGGAGGACCATGCCAAGGCCCATAGAAACGAGCTAGATTTAGATGCTCCAGAGGCGATCGACTTTGATCTTCTGGTTGAGCTGCTCCAGGACCTGAAACATGGGTAAGCCTAATCAAAGTCCTGTCACGGTGCTTGCTGACAACGATTTTCTCAGACGGCGGGCAGAAATCCCAATATATTCCTTTAATGACCATCAACGTGAATCAAAAACGACGTCACTGTATAGCCCTCATGTGTTGGTCCTTGAGGGTATCCTGGCATTGCATGACCCTCGTGTGCTTGAGTTACTCGATATGAAGGTTTGTTACTTTAATGTTGGACCGGAATAGTTTTATGCTAATATCGTAGATATTTTGTGAAGCGGACGCCGATACTTGCTTATCTCGAAGATGTGAGGAATAACATGTCATTCTGGGTGATTTGTTTTACTAACTGAGAACTTCAACCAGTGCTACGAGATATTGCAGAACGAGGAAGAGATGCTGAGGGCTGCATTAAGCAATGGTTTGCCTTTGTGAAGCCAAACTTCGAGAGATTTGTCGAACCTCAACGAAAGGTAGCAGATATTATTGTACCGAGGGGTATCGAAAATACCGTTGCGATCAGTAAGTTCCTGACTATAGCTAATTATGCCCCCAATCCTGTTGGAAACGAACCACCCTTTCATATCAAGCAGAAGTTCCAAATATACTTGCAACGGCGGGAATCAAACCATGACTTACTGACATGACTTACTGACATGACTTGCTGACATGACTTAGCTATGGTGACGCAATATATCGAAAGGAAACTGATCGAGAAGTCCAAAGCACACAGGGCAGAGTTGAAAAAGCTCGGGTCTAACTGCGAGAGTGAGCCGCTAGCAAGCAGCGTTGCAGTATTGGAACAGACATCTCAGCTGAAAGGAATCAGCACCGTCATCCAAGATATGGATACATCACCCGAGGACTTCATTTTCTACTTTGACCGCATCGCCACCCTGTTGATTGAGCAGTAAGATACCTCTATTAGGCAGTTGCAGCATCACGCTAACCCAAACAGCGCGCTAAATAACACTAATTTCGCAGTAAAGACGATAGAGACGCCTACTAAGCATGTTTACAACGGATACCAACGAAACGGTGAGCCCAGTGCCGTGGTTATCCTACGCGCTGGTGCTGCTTTCGAGACCGGGCTGAAGAGAGTGATACCAGACTGCAAAACTGGCCGCATTCTTATCCAATCAAACATCAGAACTGGCGAGCCAGAGTTACACTATCAAAAGCTTCCGGTCGGTATCCAGACCCAGGATTGTGTACTACTCCTGGATCCACAGATGTCAAGTGGCGGCGCTGCCCTGATGTCCGTACAAGTTTTAATTGACCACGGAGTGGCAGAAGAGCGAATTGTTTTCGTTACTTATTTTGCAGGAAAGATGGGACTGAATCGTCTCACGAAAGTATTTCCACGTGTGAAAGTGGTTGTCTGTGAAATCGTTGCAGATTACGAGCCGCGTTGGATCGAAAAACGTTACTTCCGCTGTTAAGAAACTTGTGGAATACCTTCGAATACTATTCTACAAATTATGGTCTGCTGTTTTATCGACTTATTTTGGATGGGATGACATTGGGCGTGGCATGGGGCGGTCCCCTATTCAGGTTCGTGCCACCCGGCACTAAACAATCAACATGGCAACACCTCGACCGAAAATATAAATGTTAACCTGCAACATAACAGGCTTCTTACGATTTGAAATCTCCAACTAAAGGCGCATTGCCTAGTATGGGACTGTTGAACCCACCCAGACAGCATAAATGGGGTGCCTAAGTTGGATGCCTTGCGTCAGTGGGGTGCGAAATTGGAACAATGCGTCGTTTTTTCAGCCACCATATAAATTTATAGGCTAAATTTATAAGATACCTTTACAATGGTTTGACAGCTCAGGCGACCCATGTTCTGAGCACCCCATGGTTCCCAGTGCTCAGGCCAAGGAAGGTACAGATTATACTGTTTTACACCGCTTGGGTTACATGCTTGGAACTGCCCATGATTGCGTAAGTAGAATTATCACCTTCCTCCGTAAGGACCTCTTAATTAGCCAAATACCCTAAGGATGTGAGCTATTGCCCCTATATAAGGGGGTGCTTCGCCCCCTTCACTTGCTTCCTCCTTTTCACTTGTTACCTCCTCAAAAACACCCTCGTTGGATATCAATCACATCGTGCCACTACTTTCACCGAACAATTCCAAGATGAAGTCCCTTAACTTGGCTCTCGCAGTTACCGCTGTCTGCGGTTTCCTTGTGTCGGCCGCTCCAGCGGCTGCGTGTGAGGATGGACTCGTCTCAAACGAGGGAGGTTCCCAGCATGTGGCCAGATGTGTTCCCGTCCAGGCCTTCCGTCAGGTGTCTGTGAAGGAAGACAATGAGGAGGCGAATGTCATCGAGCCCCGTGAGTCTCTTCTGACTTGGAACAAACGACTGCCTTATTTTGGCAAGGTATAGTTAGATTTTGTCAGCGCTGACGCCCATCAGGCCACAAGGACGATCACGACGACGAGTGCAGAGATCATAAGGATAAAGATGACTGCAAGCGCCGCAAGAAGGGGGACAAGCACAAGAAGAAGAAGGGCAAGAAGGGGGACAAGCACAAGAAGAAGAAGGGCAAGAAGGAGAAGTGTGAGAAGGAGCCCAAGCATCCCGAGTGCCGCGATGAGGACGACCATGACGACCACAAGCATGATGACTGCCACGAGGACTCCAAGGAAGAAAGGTGCAAGCACCTCAATGAACACCACGACGATAGCCACGGTGAGGGCAAGGGTGACCACCATGACGAGGATTGCCCAGAGGAGCTCAGGGGAGGACCTAACTGCCCTTGGTTCAAGCACGAGGAAAAGCACGATGAGTGCGAAAGGGAGCCACACAAGCCTCACTGCAAGAAGGATAAGAAGGAGCACTAAATACATAGTGTTCGTATATCCTAGTCCTTGCAACCACTGGAGCAGCGTGATGGTCAAATGGGATGCATGTCAATGTCACTAGGATATACAAGATAACATCTAAATAATATAATATATATACGGGAATAAAATTTAAAGCCTGACTTCTTCGGTATTCGTTATTTATAGACGAGAAACATAACGTAGGCTTGCGTAATTTCGCAGGTTTCAGTGCAGTGGCGGGCTCCTGTCCAACATAGTCCAAAAAACAACGAATGCTACAATTTCGCTGGAATGGAATCATCAGCTGGGGAGCGTCCTGGGGGCAGGCTCCTACCCTCTGCCAGGAGAATCTCTCGTGAACGCTAGCAACAGTAGTAGCATCCACACAAACCAGTCTACCAAGTTTATAACCCTCACATTTGACATCGTTGCTACGTGATCATCGTAAGACCTCCTCTCACCCCTCTCATATGAATCGCCTCGTACCACAGAGCTACTACAATGCTTAGCGTAAATATTTGGATACCTCCTCGCTCTCGTAAAATAATTGCTGCAACCTGTCCGATCTTCGCTTTTCTTCTTCTGCTGTCTTCTTCACCCAGCCCTTCTTTTTCTTACCCTTGTCATTGTCCCTCTTTTTCCTAGTTTTTGCTTGATCAACACCTCGACTTAATTCTAGTACGTCGCGCTTCGGCTTCGGCATTGTTGCGCCTATACCTAGCTTGTCGTTCTTCTCTTTGGCCTTGATTGGATATCGTATTCCCTCTCCATGCGCGCCAAGGCCTGTCCTGGCATCAGGGTCCCAGCCTTGGTCACGTAACATGCGGACACCGGTTCTGTGCCGTGATAGGGAGGAGGGTGGATGGGAGTGCGGGAGGCTGAGCTGATGTGCGAGGAGTGCAGCGTGGGGAGTCGATGAAGAAAGAGGAGGAATGGGAAGGGAACATGTCTCGCATATTTGCGGTTCAGTTTCTGTTAAACTTGTATCTGTCTTCGAATTTTGCTTCTCCAAACCATCAGGGGACTGTGATTGTGGAAGGACAAGACCCAGATAAGTCCTGCTAACACTGTGGCCGTACGATGTGCCGGATTTGCTGGTGGCGCTTGTCGTTTCGCTCGAGCGAACAAACTGTACGCGCTTGCGCTTCAGGCCCGCTCCGAAGGCGCGTTGATCTTGGAGAGGTATCGTGTATTCATCTGACTTTGACATTACGCCGTAATGTGTATGGTCTTAGGACAGGATGGTAACAGAAGGAAGTGACGTTGAGATATGGTGTTGGAACATCCAAGGCCCTCCAAGTGGCGCTAAATTACCCCAGGTTTCGCTAGTGCAAATACCTAAATATAGTCCATAAACGTCATGTTGGCCTTGCATGTTTCCGAGGTTTTTATTTACGCGTACCTACCCCCGCCACCACGACAAAAAAGCCAGCTGATATTTAATTTCCAGACCGGTACCTCACAGTCACTGGAAGGTGCACACGCTTTTAGGGCCAAGCTAGGAGTTTGTCGATTTGCGCCCATGCCCGCCTCTTCAACCCGTTATTGAGCGCGTTGACTGTAACTACCCTTCGACCGCAAACAAGATGATTATCCCGCTTATAGCAGAGGCAATATTCAATGGCATATCTTTTGATATTGACTACTGGAATATTCTAAAAGTCGTTGGACTCATTGCGGCCATTGTGTTGGTGAAGCTGTACTGTCGGGGGGCAACAAACCTCGCCGAACGACAGCTGCATTCGAAAGTAGTGATAGTAACGGTTCGGCTGCCTACCCACAAGAGAGTCAAACACACGTGCTAATTAGAATACAGGGAGGTACAACCGGTATTGGTGCTGAGATGACACTCGGTCTGGCCCAGCGAGGCGCTCAAATCGTTCTCCTCACCCGCCAGCCGGCATCGGATCCCTTTATAGTCGACTACATCGAAGACCTCCGAACGCGCACAAACAACGAGTTAATATATGCGGAGCAAGTCGACCTTGCGTCGACCCACAGTATACGAAAGTTTGCCACAAAATGGATTGACAATGCGCCTCCTCGGCGACTTGACATGATCGTCCTCTGTGCCGCCAGCCAAACAGCCCCAGGAAAACCAATGGCTCTGACGAGTGAAGGAATCGAAGAGACATGGATGGTCAACTACCTGGCCAATTTCCATCTATTGAGTATCCTGAGCCCTGCGATACGAGCACAGCCTCCGGACAGAGATGTGCGGATTCTCTTCACAACTTGCTCGAGTTATATCTCATCCCCTGTGCTGGAAGACGGAGAAGAAGCCCTTGACGCCAGAAAATGGAGCCCAGGGAAGGCCTATGCGCGAAGCAAATTGGCCTTGATGGTATTTGGCCAGGCATTCCAGAAGCACCTGGATGCATACAAACGCCCAGACGGTCTCCCCATGAATGCTCGTGTCGTATTCGTTGACCCGGGATATTCACGGACTTCTGGAATGCGACGTTGGTTAAGTAGAGGAACACTGTGGGGACTGGCACTCTATGTGCTCCTGTGGCACCAAGCCTGGCTTTTCTTGAAGAGCGCCGAGCAGGGAGCGCAGAGTTTGCTGTATGCAGCTATGGATGTCACCTTGGGGAGGGGCAACGGAGGCAAGTTAATCAAGGAGTGTATAGAAGTCGATTTAGCGAGGAAAGATGTTAGAGATGAAGAGACTGCGAAAAAGCTTTGGCAAGCGAGCGAGAAGCTGATTGAGCGAGTCGAGAGAGAAGAGGCAGTTAAGAGGGCATTAAAGAAGAAGGAGATGGCTGAGCAAGAGGCTGAGCAAGAGGATGTTGGAAAAGGGTCTGGCACCGATGCAGGAAATGTGCCTGAGAAGACGGCATCAGGGAACAAAAAGTCCAAATCGAGGAAGAATAAAAAGGCCGCAGCATGAGGGTATGCTGGTTATGGCGTGCACATACTCGTACGAGTATGTCGCCCAGGGATATATCCATGTAGACAGCGGGTCAAATTTAGAAAGTTATGATGGTTGAGCCATTGTTTGATTCAAAGTAAGGTCGCCTATGTGAGTACCCATGAATCGCTGCGGCGGTTGTAGTTCTATCGACGGATAACCCGCGTGTTGAGAATGATAAAAGAGAGAATATTTCGGTGGCAAAACCTATGTTGTCTGTATGATAAACGGCCATATGCAAAGAATTATCGGCAACTGAAACCCCCTTCCTTCCCCCCGACCATTTATTCCCAGAAAACGTGAATAGCCAGCCACCTTTCAATAGAAGAAAAATGAAACTCCCGCCTTCTCCGCATTTCACCAATACTTAATGCAATGGAACCCCTTCCCGGACCACTCGCCCACCCCGCACTTTCTTCAATAATCGATGCAAAACTCCCTCGTAGGACACTCACCTACTCAGCACTCTCCTCAGCAACCTGGCCCTCGTCTTCATAGTCCCCATCACTTTCCGCCTCGCTTTCATAATCTGCGACCACCTGCGTGATTCCATCGTCACCTTTCACCAAGTGACCGAATAAACTCGCCATTTCTTCAATGCTCAGTGGAGCAAGGGGCTTTCCCGCCTCTATCATGACCCCATCAATCTCAGCCATCTTCTCCTTCTGCATGTCCAGGATTCGCATATCGACTGTGTTCTTCACAACAAATCGAGCAACATGAGTCTCCTTCATTTGCCCAATCCGGAAGATACGACCAAATGCTTGCTGTTCCACAGAGTCTATGAGATGCGTCAGTTACTCTGAAAAGTTAATCAGCAAAGGATGACTACTTACGGTTCCACCAGGGGTCGATGGTTATGCATCGATTGGCGCATTTCAGGTTCAGACCCACCCCGCCGCATTTCAAAACAGCGATCATGATCTTGATATTCTTGTTAGTGTGGAATTGCTCAACTGCATGAGTTCGTTGTCTCATGTTCATATCACCCTGGATCATATGTTAGCCATGCCTGCTTGTGGCTACGAATCTGGCAAACAAATGTACAGGATGGGCACAGAAATCGGTGGAGATGGGTTGGCAAGACCTACAGTGAAATATACGTGGCCCCAGCACTCCTTCTCGCAGAGCAAACCCACGATCCTCGTCATCATTCGGAATTGAGTAAATACTATTTTCAGTTAGTCAGCGCAGAAAGGCTAAAAATGGGGAATATTCTTACTCAAGATTTTATCATCTGGTGCCTCATGTACCCAACGAAGAATTTGAGCCTTGAGGGCGATGGTTTTGGTGCTCGGCAGAAGCTTTTTAGGGGTTTCGATGCACGTCTTTAACCACTCTGAATCCTTGATGTGTGGCTTATAGTTTGCATCCTTTCTTCTGGAAGTTTGTCTGGTGGGTTGGCCTGATGAATGATCTGAACGTTCAGAGCCAGCACCGTCATCGCTACCTTTTAAATCAGGGTTTCTCCACGGCTCATAATGCTCGAATATTTTCTCGCACTTTGGGCATGCCGTATAATCAAACTCCAACGTAGCCGCCTGTGCGTGTATATTTCCCTCAAGGCAGGCCCTGCAGAATATATGTCCGCAGTCTGTCTTAACAGGGTCCTGAGGTAAGTCTGAGCAAAGAATGCAAACGATGCGGGCATAGATCTTTTCATGATCAGCCTCGCTCAGAAATCCTTCAAAATCGAACCTGTTTCCAAAGTCAGAACGCCCGAATGAGACACTGTCGCCGCTTTGCTTCGGTTCGTTGTTTGTTGCAGGCTTTGAAGTCCATAGTTCGATTTGCTCATAAATTGGACGTTTGTCTTTCTTAAGACGCTTTAGCCTGAGCTTAAGCCCCAGCAGATCTTCGGCATCGAACAGGTCTTTGATGCATCTCTCAAGAAGAAAGGGATGGGACGCGGCTTGCCTGAGCCTCAGAAGCTGTGTCAAATATAACCCATAGTTTTTCTCGGTCGTCCCTGCCTTGAAATGGTTGTTCATCATTCCACGGAAACGGTCTTCCAATGTGCGATATATTGCTCTCTCCACTCCGCTGAGAGTCAAAGTCTGCAAGGAAGGATGAATTGGCGGCAGCTGAACCAAAGGACGTCCAAGTATTGTGGATCCAATTGTTCTCCTCCTATTATTGATTAGCCCATGTACACTCCTGTATTACTTTTCTACTCACATCATAATCACACTAAGCATGACATTCAGTCTCTTAGTTGAATCGTTGGCATCGGGATCTCCAAAGTTTTTCTTGAAAACAGGGAAAGAGCTTGCCCAGTTCAGGCGAAGAAAGCGAAAATATGGATAGAGCTCGTTGAGGCTGTTTAAGACAGGAGTGCCTGAAAGAGTCCATCGGTAAGTTGAGTCCAGCTTGTGGCAAGCTATTGAAGTCCGTGACCTATAATTTTTGATCGCCTGAGCTTCATCCAGGACAATTCGGTACCATTTGACTCGCTGTAGGTCGCCTTTAAGTGAATTGCGATTATTGGCCCACTCATCCTCTCCTAATAGCCTTGCGTCGGCCTTGTCTTCCACAGAGCTTGGAAACGGCCAGCTATTTGCAACTTCCGTAAAGCTCGTCAGCACAATATCGCAGTCTGAGAGAATGTTGGTAGATATTCTTGAAGACGACTTATAAGGCATGACTTTTTGGAAAATCTTCTCGTCGACATGCACTTTGATTTCTGCCTCCCACTGTGAAAGTAAGCTTGCCGGGACTACTATGAGCGTAGCTTTTCTCATCGCTGCGATGTCCTTTTCTGCTGGCGGATTTCCGACCATCGTAGCCAAAGTCGATACAGTCTTCCCAAGACCCATAGCATCTGCCAATAGACCCCCATGAGGCCGATCCAAGGAAAGCTCACGTTTAACCATCCAATCTGCCGCCAGTAACTGGTGATGGTACAGTGGCGTCTTCATGCCGACCAGAAGCCATTTCCCATTTTTCGCTTTGACTCGCCCATGACCAAATGATTTCGATGCTTCATTCAACGTATTTTTCTCATTTTTTGCTCTGTTGGCGTCATAATCTCGAGGGATGCTGCTGAGAAGTTCTCTCAACTGACTGGCCTTGTTGTTTGTGATGATATCAGGACCTTCTTCAACATCGTCTTGCTCCATACGCTCCTTGATAGTATCGCTTTGAATGAGGCTTGCCAGGAGCTTCTGTACTGTATCATCAACTTCCGGCCATTTATTTCTCATCCTGCTCTTATAGGTGGTTTTGTGGACGCCCGTCGGAACAGTGCCTGGCTGCTTCTTGCCTTTCTTTGGTACACGACCTTTGTTTCCAACAGCTTTGGCTTTTGCAGCTTGCTTTGAGCTATGAACTTCTCGTGCTGTCCTATTTACGGTGTTTTTCCGTGATGGTTTCTTTTGGCCTTTAGCCGTTACCAGTGATGGTTCGCTTTGAGAAGTGAAATTTGGAATCCCTTCCGCCATCTCAGGGTATATTCCGGCATCATCATCCTCGCTCATGGGATCGACATACATGTCATCTGTCCCTATGTTTAGCCCAGAGGATGATTTGCCTTTTTGGAGCCGCCAGGATGCAGTGTGGAGGCGCTGGCTGGCTTGGAGGTACTCTAGCTGTTGGCTAGGGGTCAACTCTCCGTTGTTTTTCTCCCTGGCCTCTTCCAGAGCGTTCATATTTCTCAATAAAGCCTCCCGTTCATCGGTGCTACTTCCATCATTATCTGTGTCCATCCAGGAGTGGTCTTCCTCGTTGTGGTTATCCATGTTGTGATCTGCATTTTCCCCGAATGGAATCTCTTCATGAAGTGATCCGGTGCTGGGGTTCGATCTTTGGATCTTTACCCTGCCGCTTCCATCAAAGATGGATTCCCTGCCTGATTTTCGCTTGAGTAAAATCTCCCGTTTCATGGCCTCCTGTGCCACACGAATGCGTTGGTTTGGGTCATGGCCGATCAAGTGTGGATTGGGAGCTTGAGGATGGTTGATGGGTTCTCCAGTACGACTCTGCACGCTTATTTCGTCATCTGGATCTGGAGTTACGAATAAGCCCCCTCTTGGCCTTGCATCTTGGATATCTTTGCCACTTGGTAGACCTTGGCCAGGTTGGGTGGTCGGTGGCGTACGGCGTCCTGTTCCAGTTGGATCCATCGTGACAGAGATCTATCGAGGGTGAAATGGAGATTGTTTGTCTTCGAGTGTCTGTCTTATCTGGGTGACAGTTCGGGTGGTTTGGGGGAGAAAGTTAGGGGAGTTGGGTCAAGCTTGGTACTGAGCCACACATTGGATCTGTCATGATGGTCAGAAAACGTAAATAAAGGAGGGAGCCAGAGTTTCCTGCAGAAAAGTGGCTCAATCAAATGGATCAAGTCATCGAAATAGAAACGGTATGAAATTATTGGTGAATAAAAGACGGACAGCCCAGACGAGAAGAAGCCAAAGCAGTAGTAGCTTTGGGAATATGAAAGACCGTGAAACACAGCTGAAATCGACGTGTAAATGGTGAAGGCTGGCCAGATCGACGACTATTTTGAGACTGTTTTTTCCAATCTCGAAGTGACTGCAGCTGTTTGAACTAACCTTGTCATATGGGGGATGTTTTCAGTGGCCAGGCAGACACCTCAAGCCGGTTCCGATTTTAGTGATGGAAAAGCTCAAAGGACCAAATAAACGGCAATGAAAGAGGTACGCCTTCGAAGTTGGGCCCCAAGCGGCAGCAACGGGACAAGAGTAACTGTAAAAGCTGACTGTAAGAGACCCGGAGTTGAGAGAAAACAGTGATAGGGCTGAAGGCCCAGATCTCATCACCAGTGAGGAACTAGAAAACAACTAGGAAGCAGATGAGCAGAGTAGGAAGATTTACCCCAAAGGTAGATCCTATGGGATCCAGTAATTGGAAATAAACCGAGAGGGGTAAAGATTTGACTTGTTTGGCAAGTCCAAGGATAGAAAATAGCAGCGTGGCAGCAACAAAATGTAAAATTTGTTGATAAAATTTTAGTTTAAACTCGGCGTGAATTATTATAATGGGCAGATGGTGAAGAATAAGACCCATAACAGCCAATTACCTATAGGAGGAACTACCTGGGGAGATTCACGTCCCAAGTACTCGTAGTTCCTGCTATGAATTTCGTAGCCAGTGAGGTCGAGGTGACAATGTGGTGATCCCTCATGTTTTGTGCGATTAAGCTTCGACGCCAACGGCCGCCGCCTACCTAACCCCGCCATGTGCGTGCTTATCTCGAACATGTCACCTCCGCGCCATTCGTTCAGACAAATTGAATTTAACCGCTCTCTCGACACCGCTATGCCAATAAACAAACAACTCGAACTGTAAAAATACCCTGCCGCCAAAGAGCCACTGAAGCCCTGCGAAGCAATGGATCTCATCGACCCCACCACCTCCGCCCGCCTCCCTCCCGACTCCATCCAGCGAATCCTCTTCCTCTCGCCCACCGTCCACGTCTACAACCCCCCTCCCCCAGCATCCAGCAAGGGCCACATCGCCGCATCATGGACCTCGCCCGTGTCGCGCCAGATCTTCACCGCCCGCCTCCGCATCCTCGAAACCGCGATACCTACCCCCCAAGGCGGCGAGAAGCTGAAGGCCGATATCCTGCTCGAGGACCCGAAGACCGGGGAGCTGTTTGCTGCGGCGCCGTATACGACACCGGCTGTGGTGGAGCAGGTGGCGGACTCGAGTCGGTTCTTTGCTGTCAGGGTTCAGGACCCTAGTGGGAGGAAAGCGGGGTTGGGAATTGGGTTTGAGGAGAGGTCGGATGCTTTCGATTTCAGTGTTGCGCTGCAGGAGATTCGCAAGACGCTTGGCCTTGATGTCGTGGCTGGAGACCCGCGCAGGCCCGCGAAGAAGGAGAGTGATGCCAGCAAGGTGGAACGCGATTTCAGCCTGAAGGAAGGGCAGACCATAACCGTGAATCTCGGTGGAAAGACAGGCAAGGGCAGGAGATCTCTTGGCGCACCATCGAGCAGCGGTGGTAGCGAAGCACCTTTCAGCGGAGGCTTTTCATTGCCACCACCGCCGAACGCACAGGCGGGATTTCTACCCCCTCCTCCAAGTGCCCAAGATGTGAAGGCGCAGAAAAGGCTAAGCCAGACGCAGACTCCGCCTCCACCTGCTTCAATTGGGGATCTTGGATTTGATGATGGAGAATTTGGAGAATTTCAGTGACGAAGAAATGAGAGTTCTAAATATACCCAAGACAACAAATATGCAATACAGTACAAACGCGCTTCTCATTCCATGGTGTCTTCGGCACATGTATGCTAATTGACTGATCCACCAGTCATTTCCGGCGAGCATCCTGGAGAATAATAACCCAGGTACTGAGGACAATCACCTCCCCATTGCCTGGAGCTTAAATCTGGCATGCTCATCCTACTCTGCGCTCTTCTGCGACCTGCTGCGACCTCAACCATTGAATCCGATCTTGCCACCCGCACTGGCTTCTGTTCCATCGCATCAGCTCCCGAGATTCGAGACATATTCCAGTCGCTGGAGCTGTCAACGGGGACTGGAAGCTGCCAGTCGCTGGAGCCGGGCACTTGAACCTGCCAGTCGTTGCAACCTGGCACTTGAACCTGCCAGTCGTTGCAACCTATGACCCCACCACCCTCCGTAGATGCCGGTGGAGTGGCCATCACATACCCCGGCGCTGCTACTTGCTGGACCCATCCCTGACCACCATAATACCCTTGTGGTTGACCATCATACTGAACCTGTTGACCATTCCACGAAACCACATCACCTCCATTCCAACCCCCCCAAGCATTCCCACCCATCCCCACCTCCACTCTCGTCCCCGCCCCCATGCCCCTCTCTCTCTCCACCCTCCACCACCTCTCCCTCTGCTGAATCACCAACGTCACCTCCCCCAACCTCTGCAAAATCAACTTCTCCTGCCTCCCACTCATATCCGCCGCATGCCTCTTCGCCGCCAAATCCCTCCTAAGCCATTTCGCCTCTTTCGCCCTCACCGGCGCCCCCGACGACGCCATCCGCGCATTGATATCTGCGATCACCGTCAGGAGTGCCGTGGCGCGGACGTCCTCCCGCTGCAGGGACGAGAGGAGGTACGCGCGCTCGGCGAAGATGGAGGTCATGGCTTGGAAATGGTGGTTTGGGGAGAAAGGGGCGGTGGTGATGAAGGGGCCGCTGTGGTGGTTTGGTATGGGGGGTGGGTGCGGGCGGTGGCGGGGGGCATAGGTGTTTGTGAAGATGGGACCGGCTTGGGGGCGGCTGTTTCGTCTTTGGTATCTGTTGACCATTTGAGCGGATTTGATTGAGCGGATGTGAGGAGTGGGTGGGCAGCGCGCATTAGATGTACTTACAAGCTTCTGTGGGTATATAAATAAATAAGGGATAAAGGCCGTGTACAAAGAATTATTCTCTAGTTCCTAAGGATATCTGGGAAGGCCGAGCTGTTTCTAGAAGAGGCAACATGGGCCTCTGAACATCCTCCGCTAACGCACCATGCCGCTCTCTGCAACAAACAAAGGACACGAACAAGGAAAAGCGTAGCGACTAGAATTATGTATCTCTGGCGTGCATATTGACATACTCTGATAGGAACGAGATATGTCTCCGTAGAGTATAGAGAAACAAAACCTCCTATACCTCCAAAAGGAAGACGTAGCACAACAAACGCCACCACAACAGTGACACTGTGAAAACAAAGTCTCCTTGTCCCCAATATTTATCTATTTCTGCTGTTTAGGCTAGAATCTAAATATATACTTGTCATCCATACCAATGGCTGTTCCTCTGTCTCTTCTCTGGCGCAGCACATATTCTTGTGCTGCGTTCTGCCATCAGTCCCGTAGAGACCCTCAGAGCCATTGTAAAACCGTAGACACATCTGCCCCTTCCACGGAAACTACTCTAACAGGCCTCCATCGAATCAAAAGGTCATCATATCTGCAGCATCATTAGCGACAATCGACTCATTAGAACGTCCAAACATACCTCGGCCAAAAAGCGCTCGTTTCGCCCAATCCATAGCCAACAGCAACCTCGTTCTGATACTGACACTCTGTGCGAAGTACACACTCCTCCACGCATACACCGCCCACAGGCCACCCAATACATTCCACCCCCCACCGAGATCAAACACTGCGCTATTTCCAAGATATGCCAAGCTACCCAGGTGATGATACTTGAATGATTTATACACAGCATCGTCCAAATCGCCATCACGCACTTCGTTCATTGTCAAGCCCCGCGCAGCGCGCGCCATCTTGTTGAACTTATGAGCTAGGTACTGGCCCTGTTGGTGGGCACGTTGGGCGGTGGCAGGAAGCGAAGTAAGCGTCTTATCAATCTGCATCAGCAGTTCCCGCATTTCGCCGAAATCGAGAGTTCCAGACTGGTCCTTGTCGTAGGCCTCGAATAGCTTATCCAGGCGCTTCAGATGCTCCGAGGCCTGTGGGAATTGGCGCCGAATGCGGCGGCCAACTTGGATCCACTCGCCGAATTCGATCTGCATTGTCTTGGGATCTTTCCCCTTCTCATATGCTAGGTTGTTGAGGAAGAAGACTAAGTTGTCCGCGACGTTGTTTTGGACGGTGGAGCAGTCGCCGATGGCGTAGACATCGCCCAATGGTGCGCCAATGAGTCGGAGGTGCGAGTCGGTTTCCAAAGCATGTTTATTCTTTTGGGTGTCACCGAGGGTTTGGGCGACGTTTTTGGAGAAGTCGGTCTGTGATACGCCCGTAGACCACAGACAGAAGCCCATGGCGAGTTCCTTGGTTACAGTCTCTCCATGATCATCCTTTTGTGTGAAGAGAATTTTGTCAGGCCTGACTTCTTTCACACGAGAATTGGTGAGGACCTGGACTTGGTCGCGAGAGAAGCGGTCTTCGGCATACTTTGACACAGCTTCGTCGTAAGTGTTCAAGATGTGGCCTCGAGACTGGATAAGATGTACCGATACTTCATTGCGAATGAGCCGGGGAAAGTATTGTGTCAGGTCCTCGTTAAGAAGATCGAACAACTCAGCAGCAAATTCGACACCTGTTGGGCCACCACCACAAACAACGAACGAAAGAAGGCGCTTTCGCTCCTCCTCAGACGTAGTAGGGAGACTGGCAGCTTCGAGGTTGTTCAGAATCTTGTGCTTAATTTTCCGAGCATCGTCGAGATCTTTCAGAAAGTTGCAGTTGTCAAGTCCCTTGACGCCATAGGGATTCGTTGTTGATCCCACGCCAATGACAAGCTTGTCGTATGGCAGGTAGAAGTGGGTTCTTTTCCCATCTGGGCCAACCTGCGACACCTCAACTAACTTCTCTGAAAACTCGACACCTTCAGCTCGAGCCTTGATAAAGTGGCCTTTGATATTAGAGACGATACGTCGAATAGGCTCAGCAAGAGAGCGCAGTTCCAGCGTTCCCACAGTCGCAGATGGCAGCATAGGCGTAAATAAGAAGTAGTTTGTTGGCGAGATCAGAGTAACATGGTAGTCCTCCACTCTCAATTCCTTGATCAAAGCCACGCTTCCCCATCCACCTCCCAGTATAACCAGTCTCGGCTTGTTCTGCTGGCGCTCCATATCAGCGTCATCTTCATCGTCCATGAGAGCCTCTGCAATGGGCAAGTTTTTCGGGCCCCCGAGTTTAGGGTTCAGGGCTAGGCCGGATATTTGAATGTCCCTATGTGAGAGATCCTCCCGATAAGTCGACGCATCGTATAGAAAGAAGCTGATGATACCAGCTGACGCAACCGTCACCGAAATGCCCAACCATGCCGCGGCTCTGTACACGAAATCGAGGGTTCTCGACCTGGTTTTCAGTACCTGCTTGCCCGGCGACAATCGAATTGGTGTATGAGAGAGCTGTCGCAAATTGGAGTTTCTCAGCGCGCCAGCAACTTGTGGCCGCTTTCGCAAGGTATGCGGCCCTCTCGAGACTTGGGATGCATATTGAATCGTGCGCCCCCTAGCTGACGGTAGCTGCTGGAGAGCCCGAGCTCTTAATATCGCAACATTGTTCGAAGAGACGAGGGGCGCGATGCCAGGTGATCGGAGCATGGTCCTGAGGTCTTTTGACGGGAAACGAGCGACAAACATAAAAATCAAAACTGCTCTATTGCGCGCTAGATATCAATGCCAGATATCGGGGAACCTGGGTGTTATTGACAAGCTGGTGAAGTTTGACAACGAATGGAATATTTTGGCTGCATTTTGGGACCGGATTGGCGGGTATGAATACCACCAGTTGTTGACCTTGACAGGGACGCTAACATCAGTACCAATGACGTCGGGGTCTGTCTCGGTGCAACAATCCTCCGGCAAATCAGCACAGAATGAGTTGGTTCCCGAGTTCCTGTGCGGCATTTCATGAGTTTCGACAGGCACATCACTCACAATTCAAACATCAGAGATTGAGGTTCAATTGTTATAAATTTGCATTATGTAGTTTCCCACTGTGACCATTGCACCATCAGAACGCCTCTTCATCAGATCATTAGTAAGTTGTATTACACGGTCATAGGCTCAGATGTATTATCGTACGGCTCTGTCCGCACCTGGAACATCTCCGCCGAGGGCAAGGTCAAGCTGCTCTGGAAAGGTTATCTTTGCATCCTTGGACGCCCCTTCGGCCCACGAGCGCAATTTTACGAGGTTTCGTATCGCGGCATTACGTCTTTGGCCTTGACTGGCCAGGATGGCTTCGTTAACTCTGTCAGCGACTTTCTTTCGAAGGTCAGGGTGTAGCAATTCGGCGAGCTGGGGCTCAAGTTGATCCGGAGGGAAAATCAAGAGCGCCATTGTCCTCTCCAGGTCTTCGAGGAAGGCTGGGTTGTTCGGCGCCTTGGGCGCAAGCTGGGTGGTAGCAAAGGTCAAGGCAGGACCAATGCTTCCGCCTGGCGTCAAGGAACTTTCACGAATGAGCTCAATGAGCTCCAGACGAAGCAAGGCAAAGTGGAGCGAAACATCCGAGTCAAGAATCTGATTACAATGTTAGAACAGGTCCTCATCAAGTGTAATGTAATGAAGTAAAGGGTTTTGGTTTTGCTCATACTGAGGACTGAAGTATGGTTTGTTTTTCTCATCAACGACCCGAAGGCTATATGCGTGGTGCATGAAACAATAATCATCGCAAAGGGAGAGGAAATGTGAAATAGGTATAGTTACTAACCTGAGGGTTGAGCTCATTGATTGCTTCAATGGCATTCTGTATACTGCCAAGATGGATGTCATGCTGTATTCTGTTGCGACGAAGCACAGAATCTTGTTGCTTTGAAGGGTTCAGATTGGCCTCCTTGGAGAACCTCTCAGCAGCAGTCGGATAGCCTTCCGCAGTAAGATAATCAAGTATCAAAACATTGAGATCACTATAGTCACCAACATTAGTATATTGTGACTTCCATTGGCAGTGATCCTCGTTCAAACACGCGTAGTTGAGGGCGGTTTTCAGAAACAACTTATAAGTTTTCCACATTCGAAATTTCTCGGAGAGATTCCCAGTTGATTGAAACTCATCATATGATGCCCACGGAATGAAGGTGCTGTGGACGGATAGAAGAAGAATGTAGACATACCTTTTAGACGGTTTGACATCTTCCATGCGTGACTCGAAGCCAGCTGTAGACGTCGTTTTAGCTCCTCTGAAGGCCTGCACCAGTTAGCGTGCGATGGCAGGTTCTCGCTGAAGAACCAACCATCTTCGTAGCTTTATGACTGCCTCATCTGTGAGATGAAGTGCCTATGAGCAGTGTCCAGCACCGATGGGCCACCTGATTCAATGCTTTAAATCCGTGGACAAGGCTGCCTTAAACCACCTGCAAGTAACTGACCGTTCTTGGTAGACTGCGCTACAAAAGAAGGTAGAAAAATTCTTGATGTGAAGAATAAGTTGAAGGGGGAGGAAGGAAGAAGTTTTCGTCAACGAGATGTACTCTTAGCTGGAAATACGCGAGATTCTACGGTAGATGGTACGGAAACCCCGCTATTCCGAATTGGAGCTAAAGTATTTCACATGCGAGTTGCCCACCCAAGCGAGTTGCCCACCAAAACACCAAAAATTGACCATTGCTACTACTACACCACCACCCTACATAATGACCCTTATTCAATTGTAATTGATTCCTAGCGCCTCTCGCATGTACAGGTATTATGTCCAATCTTCTCACATTAGCCACAGCACTGTTGCTAGCCCTTAGAGCCCACCTGCTAAGCAGTCCTACTTACCACCTCTATACAGACTTATGTAATGGTGGGTGCACCAGATGTGAGAATCTAGCCACCCAAGGAAGGGATGATTTTACTAAGACAACACACTGTCTTAGGAAACAGAGCCAAAGGGTTGTAGCTTAGACTATTCCACAACGCAGCAATCAGGTGTATGATGTAGTGAAGTGGTTTAGACAAGTTGTAATGAATGTTGAGTCTGAGAACTCAGGGATAAGTCAGAGGTTAGCACCTCACTGACTTTTCAGAAACAAAGAATAACAAGATCAATGCTTGGAAACTTGGAAAAGACATAGAAGTATGTGCTAGTCGATTTACTGTATTGGCTGCTTGCCCTTTCTTAAGGAAAGGGCAATCCTATCTATGCCAGAGTGTAGTTCTCTCATTTTCCAAGACTTTCCATGACTAACCAGGCTTGGTAAATGTATTAGAAATCAAGTGCGACCCACAACTAGCTTGCTAATCATGTAGCGAACGTAAGAGAATCCCATAAAACCATCTCTTGGGTTCCTAGCCTATAGGAAGTGAAAGGAGGTCCAAGGTCAGAGTACCCCTATAGACAGATTATGTCATAACTTAACCAATCTTGTGGGTAACTAAGGAGCGATGACGTGTAATGAATCATAGACGGTTGTAGAAGCTTTTGGAGCTATGGTTCATGTTCCTAGGCCTCTAGTTGATAGAGATATGTCATGTGTAGTATTAGCCCAGTAACTAAGGAGTGATGTCATGTAATGAATCATAGAGGGTTGTAGAGATATGCTATGTGGTCATATCGGCCCAGTAACTAAGGAGCAATGACGTGTAATGAATCATAGAGGGTTGTAGCAATCGTTGAGTAGTATTGCTCTTGTTGTTGGTGTGACAAGCCAAAAATATGTATAGTGACTTGTGTTACGATGGTCATAGAGGTCATGATGCCAGTCCAGGAAAAGTAATCTAGATTGGATCTAAAGAGAGAAGAAGAAGAAGAAGGAAGGAAGGTGAGGCTATTTCTCATAACATACAGTTGTCTGCTTAGCGGTTGTAACCTTGTGGCTAAGGCTACACCCGTAATCCCCATAACAACTGTAATAACCGTAATAACCATAACAACCATAACAACCATAACAACCATAACAACCATAACAACCATAACAACCATAACAACCATAACAAGCTGTGACAAGCTGTGAGCTGTAATCGTAACAACTTGTAGGTTTGAGGAGGAGATTTCTAAGTTTGTTCTTGAGTTTGATAACAAACTGAGTGCAACGAATGTCAGTATGACATTCAACTATAGGAGGGGTCAGAGTTCTTAAGTGTAGATTTAAGTGAGAGAGGACATTCTACAGCTCATACAGAACTAGTCTTGTAGCTCGGAATCTGCTTGTAAGGATGCCAAAGCCCTCAGTGATGGAAAGCATCAGAGTCAGGCAGGTTATGGTCACGTGGGGAGAGTTAGGGCAGGTTAGCCGAGTCGGACCCGTTTCGGGTACTTAAGGGGATTGACCCAATGGGGTTCCTCGTCATCTTTTTTGTATCCTTCGTAGTAGACCTATAGGATAGCATCCGTTTAGCCTCCGACTCGCACTCTCATATGCTATTACTGTGAGCTGTGAGCTGTAATCGTAACAACTTGTAGGTTTGAGGAGGAGATTTCTAAGTTTGTTCTTGAGTTTGATAACAAACTGAGTGCAACGAATGTCAGTATGACATTCAACTATAGGAGGGGTCAGAGTTCTTAAGTGTAGATTTAAGTGAGAGAGGACATTCTACGAGCCAAAGGGTTGTAGCTTAGACTATTCCACAACGCAGCAATCAGGTGTGTGATGTAGTGAAGTGGTTCAGACAAGTTGCAACAAATGTTGAGTCTGGGAACTCAGGGGTAAGTCAGAGGTTTACACCTCACTGACTTTTCAGAACCAAGGAGTAACAAGATGAATGCTTGGAAGCTTGTAAAAGACGTGGAAGTATGTGATAGTTGATTTACTGTATTGTCTGCTTGCCCTTTCTTAAGGAAAGGGCAATCCTATTTATGCCAAAGGAGTGTAGTTCTCTCATTTTCCATGACTTTCCATGATTAACCAGGCTTGGTAAATGTATTAGAAATCAAGTGCGACCCACAACTAGCTTGCTAATCATGTAGTGAACGTAAGAGAATCCCATAGAACCATCTCTTGGGTTCCTAGCCTATAGGAAGTGAAAAGGAGGTCCAAGGTCAGAGTACCTATAGATAAATTATGTCATAACTTAACCAATCTTGTGGGTAACTAAGGAGCGATGACGTGTAATGAATCATAGAGGGTTGTAGAAGCTCCTAGAGCTATCGTTCATGTTCCTAGGCCTCTAGTTGGTAGAGATATGCCATGTGGTAGTATTGGCCCACCCCCTTAAGGAGGAGATTTTCTTAATAACTTGTTCAATGAGTGTCCAAATGATATGCTGTGATGTATGTAGCATAAACAGATGTAGTAGAAGAGTTTGCAGCAATCGTTCAGTAGTATTGCTTCTGTTGTTGGTGTGATAAGCCAAGATATGTATGGTGACTTGTAGGTTTGAGGAGGAGATTTCTAAGTTTGCTCTTGAGTTTGATAGCAAACTGAGTGCAACGAATGTCAGTATGACACACTGCTCTTAATGTTCTGCTCTGTAAGTGTAGCCTTAAATGCATCTTTGAATGTAGAGAGAAACTCAAGCTTTGTAATATGATTTAGCCTAATTCTGTACAAAGGTTTCAATCTAACGTCTGTACGAAAGCTTTAATGGAGCAAAACCTATGCCTTGGTGAACCGTGACACCTTTCTATTCAACTGCTTATAGAGAGTTGTATATAGGACATCATACGACATTTCGCCTGCTCTAATACTTTGAATATGCCCTTCCTTAATTGATTGGATAGCTAAAAGTATTCTACCCTCCTGATTAGAGGAATTAGCTTGTGTTGGTTGTAGCATGTTGACTTTTGTCAAGTTGACACGTTTTGGTGTTTTGGTGGGCGACTCGCTTGTGTGGGCGACTCGTATCTGAAATACGTTATAGAAATTTCACAAATAAATTAATTGCGTTGGGATTTGTATATTCCTCTTTTGTAGAATATTAACTATAATTTTCAAGCATATATTAACTTTATTTCTCCCCAAATCAAATCCCTCCCAATAGAAAAAGCCGTCAAACGTCCAAACCGACAAATATGACATCACAAGCAAGAAGCCGAGGCGAGCCGCGGTTGAGCTACCCCACAGCCCGTCATACACGCTCGCACGACCATAGTTGCTCGAACAAGTCGGACGATTTTGTTGAAAACGAAATCAAGCAATGTGAAATAAACAGCCGTCTGTTTGCTCACATCTCACTGCTCTCCGCCACCAGTAGCATATTGAGCCCGCCCAAGGTTCAATTGCCACTGCTTGTTCATCTGTGAGCAAGGGAGGAGGCAGGCACCTTCAAGCTCCGACGGGACAGGATGATTTCGAGTCTACAGGGTAGGCGGCCACAGGTATGCTTGCGCTCAGTTATAATACCGTACTTGGCAGCTTCTAACGTCCCTCCAGGTCCCGCAACAGCAAGTTCTCCCGCCGATGAACCAGCAGCTTAATCGCCCCATGGGAGTGATGCCTCACCAAATACGACCGCAGTATGACTCTGCATCTCAGCATCCGGTGTTCTTCACATCGAGGATGGTGAAGTTGCCGAATGGGGTTGCGGGGGTGGGGGCGAGTCCGGTGGCGATGGGATACCAGTTTGAGGAGGGGAGGAAGGATGGTGGCGTGATTGGGGGGAAGCAGAAGTTATAAACGACAACATGATGGCAAAAGAGAATTATTTTCTGGAGTCAACGTTTGAGGTAGCGAGCGTTTGATGGCTGTGACAAGCTGAAGTAACGAGGATATGACTATCTGGCTTGAGGCCTGGATGAAATATTTCCAATGAAGGGGAGGTATGGCTGTGTATAAACTGAGGCCAGCGGATAGATATTGTAGGTGAAAGAATACATTCATAATATCCTCCAAACCAAAACAAACAGCACCACACCCCCACCCCACTTGCTCATTGCAATCTTGCTTCCTCATATCGATCTACTACCTCCGGTAGATAAAAGTTAATCCGGACCGTTTCAATCTCACTTACCTATCCTATCGTTTATGTTTATCATCGCTACAGATAAAAGACAGGAGGACAATGATATTACCACCAAAACATGCTACACTTCAGCATATACCCACCGAAAAATGTACCCATACTTTATTTTCTAAATCTCAATACACACACGGAACTGACTGACCACAGCTCACCGAACAGCTATCTCCTGGTGCCCAGTTAACCGCACCAACCACCCCCATGTGAACATGTTGATTTCAACACCCAAGACCCGAAAGAGGCGTCTCTCTCTCTCTGAAATAGACGAATCACCCTCCATTGATGCCGCTATCGACATGTTCCAAAAATCCCAATCTTCAATCATGGTCCCTCTCCTGTCGACCGGCTGCTTCGACACAATGGTCCAGCGAGTCGAGGAGACCATGGCACTGGTGGACAAGAGAGGGATCAGCTTGGCGCATAAGGCGAAGAGGAGAAGGACTATTGCGGAGAGGTTGAGTGAGAGGAAGTATGGTGTGGAGAGTCAGTATTTTCTAGCGTTGAGGTCTGTGCTATGGAGATAAGATGCGGTCCTGACAGGTAAATAGACAACCCCCCCATTTGCGAGACAGGGTTCCCAAACAATAGCCCCCTTGCTCTGTCCTCGGACCAAACAACTACAAAGAACTGCTCCGCATGTCGAATCCAGAAACAAACCCAACTGCTACCACCCAAAGCCAAGCGGGACACGACGATGCAGAATTTAAGCCCCATGCTTCGCGCTATGATTTCTGAAGCTGAAGCTGAAGGTCAGAACAACAAGAACACGAGCGAAGAATACAGTGCAAATGAAGACAGCCAGCCCGAGACACTGGTCGTGGAGAAGGAGTACTCACCGTTGAAGACCAGGATTGTGAAGGCACCGGAGAGGAATGGGGGGTATATTATTGCGAAGTGGGGGCAAGGATTGAATGCATGAGTTGGGGGTGAGGTTGGAGAAGGAGGAGAAGGAGCGAAAGGAGAGAGATAAAGGGGAAGGGGGTGATATGGATCATCTCAGATCAGCCAGCTCTGTATATACCTAGGAAGCCCTGGTATAACATCATTGAGAAACAAAAATGGAAAAAGTAAAAAGATGCTCTTCTGTTGGTAGGTTCTCGGCTGCTGGGGATACGATATTGGTTGGTGGTAGGTTCATGCAATGTTGTAAGGACAACTAAAATTCTTGTTATTGCGAGGGTCATGCGATTTAGCAAGTCCTCGACCCCCTCGTCAATGGGAAGCTTCGCATCTTTGTACGGTAGGGACGTGAAGACTTGACCAGAAGCCATTGTGTGGGCAGGCATTGTACGGTATCTGTTTCATCGTCATCGTCATCGACGGTGCCATCCAGGGGTCGTGATGAGAGCGGCGAGTCTGTTGTGCCAAATGCCCTGATTTATGGCATTGGTGGCGGTGGTGCGGGGTATCATAGATCAGGATATTGCCTAATTAGGCTACAAGTTGGATCTTGAACAACGCCATATCCAAAAAGGGTATGGCATTGCACGGGAGGCCCTGTTTCCTAATCGAGGCAAACTATACAGTACCGACAGAATGTGAGAATAAGACAACTGGCAGTTTCCATTTTGGATTCCCCACCAATAAACGTACTTGGCAGCTACTTATATTTCCAATGATTGTCTCTGATTTCTCTGTCTTTAACCTCTGCAAAGAGTGGATGGCTTATCTTTTCCACTAATATCTCACGCTGTCAATATGCCTCTTTTCAAAGCTCCCGTGAAAAAAAAAAACGTTCTAGCAACAGCTTCTATAGTGAGTTGAGGCTGATTCTCTTGATCCTGTGAAAAGTGAGATAGTAGGGCTAATAATATTCTTAGCTTCCGTATGAGCAGTTTGTTCATGAATGGTTAGTCATAGGGACTTAATACTGCCGTTTTCGTTGACACAGCATTACTTATTTGTCCAGTTCACTGACGTAGAGGCCTTTAGACTATATGCGCCGCCTGGATGTTGTGAACCGTGGTTTAAAGTAGGTTTACCACTCACCGGCGCGCCTGCGCCCAGTTCTGTAAACATGTGCCAACATCTTCCCAGCGGATATCAGACAGAGCAAGGTCTAGCCATTATCGATTATGTCTTCCCCTCCCCAGCCAACTCACCGAAAATTGAGTGCCTGGTATAGCCCTCCCACTTTGCACCCCATATAGACCTCATCCATTAAGTTTCCAGTCCCTCTTCTTTGGCGCCAATGACTCCGCCTTCGACGACGGCGCTAGCAAGCAGCTCGTCTCGATAGATAGATGCCGCGAGAATCCCGTATCTATCCTCTCCCATCCACAACCCGAGGATCATTCTTGTCACTACACCACCCCTGGACGAGTACCAGCGCCCAGAGGTAACACGCGCTGATGGGAACGTGGCCCACATTCATTATCTCGTGGTGGGAAGCGGCTTTCCGCCGCCACCACTGTATCCGCTGCTCCGAAACCTCAGTAAGGCAGGAAAGATTGCGCGGACAGTCTTACTGTAGCTCTATTCCTGATAGTAAATGGTTTGGTTGATTTGGCTACCTAATTAGGAAGCTTTCAGTCGATAAGCTTCTACCACAGTGTTGAGTGTTGGTCCCACTTCAAAATTACCGCTTTTGGTAGGCGGGATCCACAAGAGCTACACGACCTCGCGTGGGTCTTACCCCAGATTCCCATGTGGAATAGCTTGACACTTTCTGGGGTAGATATATAAGGAGGCGAGATGCTCTCGTTGGCAGATCAGTTTCTTATTTCACCACTCAACGATTACACCAGTCTTTCCTCTGCTCTGGCCCATTGGATTGGATTCCTCAACAGGGCAAATATTTTCTATTATGGGTGATCATGATATCGAATCCGAAGGGGAGAAGATCCCCACGAGTCCAGTGACCTATTCAGAGAAGCCAACTTCAGAGATGATGGAGCATTCCCCTATCAACCTGACGGAGGAAGATGTATGTTGCCTTTAAGTTCCGCAACTAAGAAACTCGCTGACTTCTCTGCGTAGAATATTCGGATTAGGAGGAAGACTGATAAGGTCATCTTGTCGATTCTGACTTGGGTCTACTTCTTACAGGTGCGTTGCGTGGATGTCAATAATCTGTTACAGGCGCTTATCTGTAGCCCCCTTAGGTTTTGGATAAGGGCGTCATGGGAACTGGTGCAGTTTTCGGTCTACGAGAAGATACCCATATGACGGGACGCCAATATTCACTCCTTGGATCGATCGCACCAATTGCGCAGTTAGGATGGCAGCCATTCTCAGCGTGGCTGATTGTAAAGGTACCACACCGGATCCTGATGCCATCGATGATCCTTGGATGGGGAATTGCAGAGACAATGACTTGTCTATGCCATGACTTCAAAACAATGATGGCCTGCCGCTTCTTCCTTGGTCTGTTCGAAGCCGGCTGCCTGCCCCTATTTGCTATCATGACTGGCCAGTGGTACCGTCGTGTTGAGCAACCACTTCGTGTCTCTATTTGGTACTCCATGAACGGCACAGCAACTATGGCAGCTGCTGCCTTATCTTATGGTCTCGGCCATATCCATTCTTCAAAGTTATATTCCTGGCAAATGTTAGTTATCCTACCAATTAGCATGGAAATCCCACTAATAGTTGAGCAGCATTTATCTATTTTGTGGATTGCTTACTGTTGTCACTGCACCCGTCTGTTATTATTTCCTCGACAACGACATCTCTACGGCTCGCTTCCTCACCCCCACGGAACGGTTACAGGGCGTTGAACGCCTCCGCAGCAACAAATCTGGCGACGAAACGGTCCATGAGTTCAAGTGGCCCCAGGTTTGGGAGTCGGCCCTTGATATTAAGACCTGGCTGTGGGTTGTGCTCGCGATCCTACCTAACCTAGGCTCGGCATTGCCAGGTGTCTTTGGACCCCTTATCATTAAAGGCTTTGGCTTTGACCCCTATACGACGTTACTGCTAAATATTCCCTATGGGGCCATGACTTTAATTGTTGTCATTCTATCTTGCTGGGTCGCCAATAGGATGAAGCTGAAGGGTATTATCTTGATGGGCTTCATGATTTTCCCTGTCATTGGTTGCGCAATGCTTTACGGGCTTGGTCGCGAGGCAAGAACGCGACCTGCCAGTGTATTAGATAGTATTGGCGATACGGGTCGTATACGACCCGTATACGGGTCCGTATCGTATACGGCAATACTGAGTCAGTGCGTATTCCAAAATCCCAATACGGGTCTAGTGCGTATTCAGTTCTCAATACTGGCCGTATACGGGCCGTATTACTAGCCGTATACAGCTAGTATTGAGGCTTAAAATTCGAAACAAGGGGTTCGAATAACTTCAATTGATAGATCGTTATATACTATATATTACTACAATGACTTCACAACCTTCGGATATACTGTCACAGCTCGACAGTGAGCTATTTGTCAGTGAACGATTCGAAACCCCGACTTCGCCTATACTTAAACGTACGCTATCCTCTCCCTCTGTTTCTGTAACAACAACTGCAAGCAGACGATTTTCGAAAGTCTGGGACCATACACCTGTTAGCCGCTGCGATATCATTCGGAACTACCAGGGCAGGTTAATATGGCGTTGTAGATACTGTCTAAAAGAGTATCTTGAGTCTGGCGGAACAAAGATTATTACAAGGCACTTAAAAGAACACGACATAGATATATCCTCTACTCAGGAATCTCGAACTACTTCAATTCAAAGCAATATCGCTGAAGCTTTCGACAAAGCTAAAGAGATAAATCATAAACGCCGCTGCCTTTCTACTGTTGCAACTGAAGCCTTAGACCCTGCTGTTGTTGAGCAGCTATATGTACGATGGATTACAACTTGTGGAGTCCCTTTCCGTATGGCAACAATATTGGAATTTAGGGCATTACTCCATTACCTTAATCCAGAGATCGATAACTGGCTACCTAACTCATTTCAACAATACAGACCTGGACGTTGCGTACATACAAGGCTCAAAAGCAACAGATCAAACGCGATGTACAATCAGCTCTGTCAAAAGCCCACTTTACAGTTGACCTCTGGACTTCTCCCAACTCTCTTGCAATTCTTGGTATAATCGCACACTATATATCCGAAACTGGCCAATTAGAACACTCTGTTCTTGCATTACAAGAACTAGATGGCGAGCATACAGGTTAATAACTTTATAGTAATATTTATAGTAATCAGCTAACATCTACAGGACTTATTATGAGAAGACCCCCCCGCACCTCTACTTCACCAAGACACAGATGGCAGTTTGGCGGAACTTTGCATCATGGAGCTTCGATGGCGAACAAGTCTACCTTCCTGGCCCTGCTGACTGGTACCCTGATGGCTATGATACTGAGTTCTATGGCTTTCAGTTGGATTCTGATGCACTTGGCGCCTTTCGGGCCTGGGAGGTGTTGAGAGAAGAGACTGAGCCAGCTGAGTACAAGTGGATCCTCCCATCTGACGACAGATTGTTGCTGTTGTCCCCAACCAAGGAATCCGAGGAGCTTCTCTCCCAGTTCTACAATATGTAGATCAAGTGCTGCTTTTAGAATATACTAGATAGCCCAATGCACTACTTTCTATACTACAAGCCCTCATTGAAGTAAGTTATATACTTCAGATCATTTTTCATTGTGTCACGTGGTTAATACGGCCCGTATACGGCCAGTATACGGGCTCCGTATCGTATTAACCAGTGCCAGTGCGTATTGAGTTGAACCCGTATCGTATACGCACTGGTTACAAAAATGAACCCGTATACGGGCCGTATAATACTATCTAATACACTGCGACCTGCACTACTGGTCGCGTACTACATCACCTCCTTTTTGTTTGCAGGCAACCCTATACTTCTTGCATGGTCCGTTGGAAATACTGCTGGACAGACCAAGAAATCCGTCACAATGGCATTTTATCAAGCTGGTACCTCCGCAGGAGCCCTTATTGGTCCGCTTCTGTTCACGGCAGACCAGGCCCCAGAATATCACCCAGCTATTGGAGGTGTACTTGGGGTCTTTGTTGCCATGATGGTGCTCCTCGGTGTGCAAATCGCCAATTTGATGTGGTTGAACAAGAAGCAGGAAAAGAGGAGAATCGCAAACGGCAAGAGTGGGGTTATTGTTGATCGTTCCATGACAACGAACGTCAACATAGATTCGAAGACTCAGGAAGTGTCAGGCGATCGGGAGGAAGTCTTGGACTTGACAGACAAGCGGAATGACGAGTTTGTGTATGTCTACTAATCAGATCAGTTTTGGGGATGAGGCAAATAGTTGGATGCAGAGGGGGAGGCTGGAGCCATATCTGCTGTAGTTACTCCATTACGTTCATTTTAGGATAACCCTATACTTTTATTAAATAAAATACATTCTTTCAGTGAGTTTGGCTGCCTTTATAATTGATTCCTCAAGCCAAGACTGTCTAGTACCAAAGCGCTTGATTCCAATAGAGGGTGTTGGACAATATCCGTAGGGCAGTAGGTAGAGAATATAAGCCGAAAATACAGTCACGAAGCAGTAGGGCCCGAAGTGATAATTTTATAATGCATGTTTTTATAATTGAAGCTATTCTAAGTACTATATATACTGTTACGGGTGTGCCTATTCGTGGTTCGGATCCTAAAACCCTCCTGGTTTCGGTTCGTTCCCTGGAGCTTCAGAATCGAAGCTTTAGAATCGGAAGATCCAGGATCCGGAGGATCACGAAGCTGGCTGACACAGCTTTCCCTGCTTCCGGGCCGAGGATTCAACAGAGGGTCTTCTTGGTAGCCAAGTCATCGACATCGGTGTAAAAGGTAGTGTTAAAAACGAGTTGAACACCAGTGGTGGTGGTGTTATACAATGGCCACTCGGGATTGTCCTCGGGCCACATGTTGTTGGGGTTTCGTGTCAGAACAAAGGAAAGGAGGTATTTTTGCATCATGATCTATAAAGATTGTGTTAGTATAAAGATCGAGGAAGAAATATGTGGTGGCTTACAGTGATAGTGGCGTTAACTAAAGTGCTTCCACCTGGTCCGCCACCTAGTCCGCCACCAGAAGCACCACCTAGGCCGGCGGGAGGTGCTGGTGGTAGTTCTTAGCCTCTCTTCAACCCCCCTAAAAGTCGAGGGTTTTGGTGTAGAAACCCGTATAGGTAGAGGCGTAGGTGTAGGCATAGGAGCAGGCTGTGAGTACGTACGTGTTACGACGGAACAAGAAGGCTGGCCAACTACAGGACAGGAAGGAGGGAGGTCGCATGAGACCGGCCCTGGTACCTGGAGGGGCAGCGGGGAATAGTAGTTCCGAAAGTATCACGTGACGGACTCGCAGGATGATGAGAAGAGTCCTAAGAGTCCAGGACTCTGAGGACTCGAGTGAGTTCCCAGGAGTCCACTAGGCACGTGATGGACTCGCAGGATGATGAGAAGAGTCCTAAGAGTCCAGGACTCCGAGGACTCGAGTGAGTTCCCAAGAGTCCACTAGGCACGACGCCACTATATAAGTAGATAGTATTTCCTTAGATAGGAGCTTCGTGCTCAACTCAATACAGTATTTGTTATATACTAGTAACGTGTTACTTGAAGCCTTTGTGTCTGATCCCCTGCCTCCTCTGATAAGTAAACCTTTACGCAAGAGAACCTCTGTGTCTTCTATCGTTTAGAAGTCAGCGTTACACTTTGAGCACCACTTCTACGAGGTACCGGCTTACACACAAAGCAACATGTCTGTCGTCAGTTCGAAGGGGAAAACCCCCACCACGCCAACTTCGTCTCAGAGGTCTAAGCCTGAGAATGAAGAGATGCCCGATGCACCCACCGTCAATGAACTCAAGGAAACTCTACGCGTCAAGTTGCCCGACACTTACTCCGGCAACCGAAAGGAACTTGAGGTGTTTTTGCTACAGGTCGAACTGTACCAGCACTTCAATGACGAGAAGTTTCCCACCCAGGAGAGCTATGCCCTGTGGACTGCGTCCTACCTTGGGGGGGAAGCCCTGCGATGGATCGAACCATTCCTCAAGGACTATTTCAAATATGAAAGTACCAATGGAAGCATGACAACTACGCAGACTATGTTTGGCAGCTGGAATGGATTCTGTAAGGAAATCCGACGCATGTTCGGAGACATCGATGAGATTAAGACCGCAGAAGACCATCTGTTTGCACTTAAGCAGACTGGCAGCGCCCTCACATACTCCACAGAATTCCAGAGATACGGCAATCAGACAGGATGGGACGCCAGCGCACTCATCAGCCACTACCGACGTGGGCTGAAGAGCCATATACGTATGGAACTTGCCCGTTTGAAACAACAACCAACGGACATGGTAGCGCTAATCGAACATACGGTCCGAATCGACAATCGACTATACGAATTCCAGAAGGAACGTCGGACCTATGACAAGCCCAAGAAAAGTTACCCCTACCGGGGAAACGAGGGCAGACGACGGGATCAACACCCGCGAGACAACCGTTGGTCGGACCCAATGGAACTCGATGCCACGTTCAAACCTGGACGACCCCGTGACCCTAAGAAAGACAGACAATTCAAGGAACGACTCTGTTTTAACTGCGACAAGCCAGGCCACATGGCCCGAGACTGCAGACAGCCAAAGAAAGGGAACGGCGGACGCAAAGTCGGCAAACAACTCAATGCCACCTGGACAGGACAGTTGAACGCAACGTTTGTGAGCAAACAGGACTGGGGAATAAACGGCGAAAGCACCCCAGAAGACGAGAGCTCAGATGAAGGGTCGGAGGCGGAATCGTTCACCGTCTCGGAACAGGAGACCTTCGATGAACTCGCACCTACGGAACCAATGAGTCCACGGTGCAAGAACGTAGTAAGACGCATGGCAAAACACGCCCACGCAAAGATTAGGGCTGAACGAGACAAGCCCAATGGCCAGAGGAAAATCCCCATGCTTAAAGACCTCTACGGGAACCTGTTACAGGAACTTCCGTTAAAATGCAAGGTGGACGACTGCAAGGATGACCTCTGGAGATACTACGACCAACTAACGAATACCCGCAGGCTGCTTGGCACGTCCCAAGACGTAGCTAAGTTGGAAGCCCAAGAAGCGGAAGAACTGGAGAAGGATGTCGAGCATATGGCTAAACTGAAGTATATGAAAAGCGTCGAACTTTACTACCAGGACCGCAGGAGAGCCCTGAAGAAGTACGACGAGAAAGCCAGAGATATGCTCCGACGGGAAAATGCGAGACCCACTCCACGCATCGAAAGGAGAGCCATGGAGCAACTAGACACGTTCTCCACGCCTCCGAGGGAAGATAGTGCATGGGTGAGAGGACAGCGGGAACTATCAATGACAGACGCAACAGAGACTGATCATCCCTGGCACGCGTATGTCTACTGGGAGTATTGCAGCGAAGATGACTGCAAGCTCCACTGGAAAAAGAAACACCAGAATCAGTTGTTTCCCCGATCCTCGCCCAGGATACACTTCAGAGACGCAGAGCAAGTTCACGCCCTCAGGCGAAGCCAGTCTGAAGGAGACTTGCCTATCAAAAGCGAACAGGTATACAAGAAATACCCACATCTGCTAGACGAAGCAGAAGAGCGAGGGAAACGATCTCCCCAAGGACCACCATTGGAAGCGGATGAATACTATCCTTCCTCGGACGAGTCAAAAAACTAGGAGTCCTCGACGGTAGGCCACCAGCGAGCGACACGAAGAGGCCTAGTACAGACCAGCTATGCGCCACGACGGGCAGCATGCAACTATATGTGGTCGCTAAGATACAACAGCGACACCTCCGAGCAATGATTGACTCAGGAGCGACGGGCAACTTTATGACAAAGAAAGTAGCAGACACGCAAGGTTTCAAGACGCAATTGAAAACCGAACCATACCCGTTAATGGTCGTAGATGGAGAGCCCATCTCGACTAATGAAGGAATGGTGACCCACGAAACGGTCCCATTGGAAATGGTCATGCTACACGGGCACAAGGAAACGATTCAGTTTGACATCGTGCACATGGACAACCATGCATGCATCCTTGGTATGCCATGGCTCAAGAAACACAACCCCCAGATCGACTGGTGGAACGAGAAAGTTGTGATGAGCCAGTGCGCGTGTGAACAACGAACGGACACGCGACAACGGGAGAAACCCTCCCAGGGCCGGAAGGAGTTATGTGCAACCTCCGAGCTCGATGACCTAGCCCAGGCATCCTCACCGACGAGTATACCGGTGGAGTACAAGGAATACAAGCAATTATTCCAGGAAGGCCCTAAGAACGAGGCGCTTCCTAAGCACCAACCATGGGATCACGAGATACCCTTGGAGAAAGACAAGAGTCCACCGTTCGGACCAATATATCAGCTATCGGAAAAGGAGCTGAAGGTACTTAAGGAGTACATTGATGATAACCTAGCGAAAGGATTCATCAGACCATCCACATCACCAGCAGGAAGTCCGGTGCTTTTCGTACCAAAGAAAGACGGCTCCCTACGGTTATGTGTGGACTATCGAGCGTTGAACAACATCACAATCAAGGACAGGTATGCCCTGCCGTTAATCAACGAACTACACGATAGATTTCAAGGAGCAAAGATCTTCAGTAAGCTAGATCTGCGAGGAGCATACAACCTGATCCGAATCAAGGCTGGGGAAGAGTGGAAAACAGCATTCCGCACCCGCTATGGCCTATTCGAGTATCAAGTCATGCCCTTTGGGCTAACAAACGCACCCGCATCTATGCAACGACTGATGAATGATGCTTTGCACGAATACTTAGACATCTTTACCATTGTCTACCTAGACGATGTCCTGGTGTATTCAGCAACCAATGAGGAGCATGTCAAGCATGTCAAACTCGTCCTGAAGAAACTAAAGGAGTACAGCTTACTCCTCAAACCAGAGAAGTGCGAGTTCCATAAAAACCAAGTCGAATTCTTGGGTTACATTATCGGAACGCACGGCATCAAGATGGACCAAGCAAAAGTAACAGCAGTGTTGGAATGGCCAACACCGACCACGGTCAAGGAAGTGCAAGCCTTCCTAGGCTTCGCCAACTTCTACCGAAGATTCATCTCGGGATATTCCAAGGTAGCTCAACCACTCACGGAGCTTACCAGAAAGGATCTCGAATTCAAATGGACGGACAAGGCAGAGGCTGCTTTCCAGGAACTTAAGACGAAGTTCACGGAAGCACCTATCCTTGCTACATTTGACCCTGCAAAGAAGATCATCCTCGAAACGGACTCTTCTGACTTCGCAATTGGAGCATGTCTGAAT